AGTGTTGACTAACTCTTTACTTTTTCTTTAAGCGTTCCCGGTTGTCTGTTCTAATCATCTCAGGACTTCGGTGATTTCAAACCAAACTTTTTCCTTTAATGCACCTGAAGATCGTCGAGGTCTAAGCACCCGCGTATTCCTTAAACCTTCCTTAGCATCGAGACTATAGGCACTCTAAATTTCACAAAACCTTGTATGGAGTCCTTTGAATGCTTGATAACAACCAACACTAAAAGGGAAACTCGATCCATCATTAGAGCACAATCCACGGCCTTCGTAATTCCATAGTGCAAGTTTCCAACTTGCTTTCTTGATCTGTATAGTTCTTTCCCGATAACCATCTAAATCTGTTTGGATTGTAGAGCTCAACTTTAACCTTAAGCCAAATGCAAACGGTAGAACTTTTTCGTACTCTGACGTCTTTACCAAAGTCAACATCTGGAGGCATTACATGGTTCCTTGCCCAAATATTTGCTCCTGTCCTTACTAGAAACTCAGTTGGTCGAGTCTTGTACACTGTTGATAACTTTGCAATCTTCATGCGGTAGTCGGTTACAACCATTTGGTCTTTTCTTGTCTTGATTAACGGTAGGTTCCCTGAAAACTTTGTTGCCGCACGAGCATGTCTTACTTACGAAGATCCACGGAAGGACTGGTCCTTAAGTTCATTCATGTCTGTCTTTCCTTTTACTGTTCAAACTTCCCATACAAGATTAGCTACTTCTCGTTCTTTCTTGGTTTTAGGTAGATCTCTTACCAGGAATCATCGGCACAGAGTCTCACTTGCAACTTAAGAACACTTGGTGATCAAATCCGTCTTTGCTTTGCTCTTATCGGTTTTAGTCTTCTGATGGCCCCCAACGATTGTTTGCAACTCGGTTATGGCTTCATTTCTTCTTGTTGCCAAACCTTCTTACCAAAAGTCTTCATGCTAGACATAACTTTCCAGGTGTGCCGAAAAGGATAAACGTTACTCTCATTCCCCAACTACTTCTTAACCAGGCAACTTGTTGTGACTCCCTTATAAGATACGTATTTCCCTTTTTGTGACACCCCAAAAATCCACATTTCAATCCATGAATTAATTGAGTAATTAATTCTAATTCTTTTGAGGAATTGATTCCTAAAATCCTGATTTTTAATACTCAAGGACTAGAATTTGACTAGTCAATCTTTAAGTTGTGTTGTACCTTGTGCTTTGAGAGGAGTTCCCTTGTTCCTTACACTTTCTAAAGCTTAGTAAGGGTATCCTTGTCTTTTCATCAAGAGTTAGTATTGTAACCTAAACCTAGAAGACTTCTTCATTTCATTCCTTACAATCCTTAGAAAATATCTCCATCTTCTCTCTAGAAAAGAAGAGTAGCTTATTCTTCAAGCCAGGTTGAGACCCTTGTCAAGATTCCAAGTTTTGCTTCCAAGATTCAATCTTTCACTTATTTGGGCATCTAGGAGGGTAAGATCTAAGCTTGTCTAGTCTTTTTGGTTCTATCTTAGTTGTCTTTTTCTTAAAGGTAGGATCTTTATGATCTTTTGGTTTGATCTTGAAGTGGGTTTGAGAAGTAAGCTTTGTGGGGAGCTTGTTGTGGTGTAAAGTGAAGTCTTTTGGTCTACAAGAGGTAACCCATGCTCTACAAAACCTATTTTGCTTACCTATATGTGATTTCTTGGATTCTACTTGTGTTTTGCTATGAAATGTGAGGGTTTATGCATTTATCTTGTGATATTGCATATCTAGAGCTTGTGTTTAGGGTTCCTTTGTGCCATTGCTTGGCATTTTCCATGGTTCAAGTCATTTTGTTGTATTTGGTGAGATTTGGCATGTTTTGGACTTGAATTTGTGTTGGAGAAGAAAATCCCCGAAGGGATTAGTTGTGGAACAGGTATGTTCCCGCGGGCGGAACGGCGAGAGGGGCACCACCCGCCAGCCTACCCGCGGGTACACAGCCTCGTGGGATATTGTTCCCGCGGGCGGAACCACGGGTGGGGCACTACCCGTGGGTCCACCCGCGGGTACATGGTTGGAGTTGGAGTGGAATTTGTTCCCCGTGATTCGGTTGTCTCGGTATTTGATCTTTTGACTTCCCGTTGTTCTTTTGTGGAACTATTTGAGCGTCTTCTTGATGTTTCGTAGGTCTAGAACTATATGGTAGGTATCCATGTAAGCTCTTTGGTGTCTTGAATCATGCGAAGTGTTCAACATTGTGTTTCGTTGAATCGAGAGGTGTCTTGTGTGTTCCTCGGAACTACCTTGAGTTTCCCCGTTGTTAAGCATGCTAGTTTGTTGTCTTAATGCTAGCGTGTGTGTTGTTCGTACCTTCCGTGTGGTTGATGTTAACTTGTGTTATACATCGTTGTTGTCGTTGGGTGGTGACCCATTCCTTGATTGAGTATGTTTCATACCTTCGTTGTAATCCGTTGCTTGACTCGTGTGAGTTGTTGTGCGTGTGTGGCTTTACCTGGATTGCACGATTAGTGGTATGAGACGCTAGTCACCAAGGTATTGCACCGGTCCTCGTGGTGGCCGTGACGTGATTATGGAGCTGTGTTCCTTCGAGAAAGGTTCACGTGATTGGGGGATAACATGTGTTATCCGGGCATGTGTGCCATGTGTGTGTACGGTACCTCGTGTACTATGAAATTGGTGGTCTTATAGGCGGGTTGTTGGTGGGGGACGACGGTCCCGGCGGAATAAGGTTGGACTTGGCTGTACAGGGGTCCTGGAGGTAATGGTGGAAGATGGTATAAGGTTGGGGGTAGCCATAAGGTTGGAACAGGGCATAAGGAAGGCATATCAACTCGTGATGGGTGATGTCGCGAGGGCTTGTGTAGCCATTGTGGTGAGTTCTCTTTCTTGTGACGTGTGTAGTCACAAGGGCATGTGTTGCCATGGGTGAGTTGTATTTCCTTCGTGTTGTGGTAACCTTTGTGGTTTGGGATGTGTTCCCGGTGTTATCTTTGAGAGTGATGAGTCTTGTGTTGTCTTTCGATCTTGGCTTTTAACTTATATACTTATGTATTCCGTTTTGAAAATGGTTTTCTATCTTATATCTACCTATATATGATACTTAACGGTATTGGTGGGTTACCAACATTATCGCTTACCGGGCGTCGTCCCATGTTTATCTTTGTATCTTTCAGGTGATGTTTAGACGAGCGCGATGTCTAGAGCCTAGTAGCTTAGCACCTTTATCTTGTGGTTTTTGTGGCCTGTGCGCCCAATGTAGTTAGATTGATGTTTTGGGATTTTTTTTTTTGAAATAGATTGATGTTTTGGGATAGTTTTATACACTTGCAGATTGTTCGCCATAGCGTTTACCGGGTTTGGTAGACGTGGCATAACACCCCGTTGGATTTCTTTTTATCCAGTTTCCGTTTTTATATTCCGCTGTGCTAGTTTTGTTGTTTAATCTGCATGTGTTAGGGCTTTTATTGGGCCTTGTTTGGGGGGTGTTAAACTTTTAGTCCCCTCATTACCACCTTCTGCTCTTCACATAAGATCTTTGCTTTGTGCTTACCTAGCCAGCCCATCCCCAAAATCACGTCCATGTCCTCCAATTCGACCTTGATGAAGTTTCCGTGAAAGACTACCCTGGATATCTCCACGGGCAAACCTCCTAGAATATCTTTGCAGCTTATTACCCTTCCTGACGCAAGCCGGATGGTCATCTCCTTCTTACTGGTAGGTTCCCATCCCAGCTCGTTCACCAAAGCAGACGATATGAACGAGTTGGTAGCCCCAAAGTCAAACAACATCACTGTCGGCACATTGTTTACTCGAAACGTGCCAGTCACTAAATCCACGGGCCTGGCTGGATCCAAAACAGGTGGTGAGTATTCCTCCTTTTTCTCTATTCTCTTCCCCGCTTGCCCCATGCATAGACATGTCGTGCCAACTCTTCGCGATATCCTTTCTAACTTCTCTTTTCTTAAGTAAGGCTCACAACAAGTAAACAAGTAAGGCTCACAACAAGTAAAGCACAAAACAAGAAACAGGTAACAACTTTCACAAAACTTTCACTTATACTTTAACTTTCAAAGTCTCAACCTTCACTTTCAACTTTCAAGAAGCAAGCAAACAACACTTTAAACACATTAATAAAGCACATAAACAGGTAAGCAAGCGTAAGAAACCCACAATCTCACCGTGCCCTAACCGAAAAAACTTACTAAACCTCTTAACCCTAGGATTCTCACACTTACTTAAATTATTTCTTACTTCAAAGCTTACGACTTAAAGTTCACTCTTTTAACTTGTCAATCCTAAGGTTCAGTCTTCCTAAATCCCGCGGTTCGTACCGCTCTGATACCAACTTGTAACACCCCACTTTTCTTAATCTAAATTCCCGAATACTTATCTTAGTAAGATAAGCTAAGCACGAAATAAAAGAAATATTTAAAGACTTAATTCTTTTTAAAAACGACCAACGGGTGTTACAGCCACAATCACCACTCGAGGTGACTGCACAGGCTAAAAGGAAAAAAACCTAAACAGTCAACACTACAAAAAAACACGAAAATAACGATGGATTTAGAACGGACCAATTCCGTTGCTAATATAGCGACGGTTTAGCGACGACTTTGTGACAGATTTTAATTTTTTGGTTAAATAGATATTTAGAGACGGCTTAGCGACGGATTAGCGAGGGCGTTAGCGACGGAAAATTGTTGTCGTTAAATTCTTAGCTAATATTAGCGGTAAATATTGGCGCAAAAGTTAGAGACAAAGTTGCAACGAATTAGCGACGGAATTTCCGCGGTATAATTTCTTAATTATAATAGCTACAGATTAGCGACGGATATGGATATCCGTCGCTACATTTTCAAACGGGGTTAGTTTGTGCTTACATATTAGCGACGGATCATCATGTCCGTCGCTATATTTATACGGGAGATTTATTGTGTTTACATGTTAGCGACGGACTCTTAATTCCGTTGCTAGACTTATCATCCGAATTTTTTTTATCATTTTAATATTTTAATTTTAATTTTATCGCCGTCTCCATCACTAGAAGATACAAGCGGGAGACAGATTAAGCTTTTTTTAAACAAAAATTAACTACGGAGTTTGGAATCCGCCGCTATCTAGCAACGGAAACTCAAATCCATCGCTAACATTAATAAAACGTATTGCACATCTGCCTAACCCTAACTAGTCGACGCACTTCTTCTCTCCCATAACACTCAAACGTTTTTCTCCTGCTGACGACGCGCAACAGAGACGACGCTGCTTTTCTGCTGACCATCACTTCCCCTGCCGCCTTCTCCGCCCACCGCCAACATCCGCTATTTTACTCCGACCGCAACCGTACTGCGCTGCTTCTCTGCGGGGGTATCCTTCCGACCATCACATCCCCCGCAACCGAGACACGCTGCTTCTATGCCGGAGCATCCTTCCGACCATCACTTCCCCTGCTGCCTACCCCGCCCACCGCCAACAGCCGGTATGTATTTCACTATTCTGTGAGTTTTTAAATTTTTTGATTTGGGTGTTTGCGGCTGTAGGATGATTAAATTATGCAATTCTGTAGCGGTTGTAGGATGATTATAGGATTTTGTGATTATTATAGGATGAATGTAGTTATGTAGGATAACTATATTATGCGATTGGTACGAAATTTTCATGAAATCTAGATGTCAGTGGGATTATTGCCTTTATTTGTGATTATAGTTTTTTTTTTTTTCATGAAATCTGGATGTAGGATGAATGTTAGTTGGATTATTGTAGAAAAAAAAAAAAAAGAAATACATAATGGAGGTGGCCTCTGTAGTTTCTTTTGGTTGGTTTCTATGCATAAGTTGGTGTTGATAGATTTGTACATGTGGGTTTCGCCATCAAAGTGTTTTCTTGAAGCAAGCTGCAGATTGGAGGTGACATTTTAGGGTATAGTAGTGATTCTATATATGCTTGTCTTGATGTATGTGAAAAAATGACTTGTTGTGTCCTACAAGGGTTAATGTAAGTAGCAAGTCTTTAGTAGGAGATTAATGTGTGGTTTTGATAATTTTTGCCAATTTTCTAGCTTATTAAAGATTATCAGTTAACACTGGAAAGAAAAACATTTATAGAAAACATCTGATCTATCAAAGTAACAAATAGAGTGGACTGGACTCTGGAGGAATACTAGCTAGCATCTGTGTGAGGGCAAGATAAAAAACTATAACGTGGCTGCATTTTCTAGTATGCAAAAATTAAAGGTGGCATTGAACAAATTAATCAGATATAAAAAGTAAGTACACCACTGTTCAATACTGAAATGAAACTTGAGAATAGAAAATTAATTCAGAGAGGCCATTGCATTACAATATAAGATAAGATAATGATCCTTACACAAATTTGAAAAAACTATATTATATTAAGTTAATCATTTTACCCTAGGGAAATCACTCTTGCATGCGATCGAAAATCATTGGTAGAGTCAGCAATGTTCTGCTTCTTTAGGCCTTTGTTCCCACCACATACTTCACTACTTGCTCCTCTTGGTCATTTTCACTAGAAAGTTCATCTATGCTTTTGATTGTCAATATGATTCATTAGGCTTAAACTATAAATGACTGAAATATGAAGTGTTGAGGTGTATATGGAATGACTGAAATGTGAAGTGTTGGTGTTGCCATTTTTCTGGATTTTCATGTTTGGTAAAACTTATTTGATTATAACATTCATAGTCCAGTTTCTAGGTATGTAGCACAGATTGTTGATAATGATTGTACACTACTTTTTAGGTTATTGAAGTAAATAGTTTATAAGTAGCTTGGAGTTGATTATGGATTGTGAATGATCCATAATCATTAACCTCAGTTATAGACTTAGAGTACATAATGATAAGTTTTACTACACAATGCCGATCATCATACTTGCAATGATTGTTGTCTTTGATGTTCTTTACTTTTGAAGTATATGTTTGTCATTTTAATGTTCATTGCCTTTAAAGTAGATATTTTTCACTCTCGGAATTTTTCTATGCTCATATAATGCTAGTCTGAACTCATAGTATATTAATTGGTGTTATCAATTTTGTCAATATTATGGTATATTGTGTTTTATTTGTTGCCTTTGTGGGCTCAAAATTGATGTCTAAGCGGCCAATACTATTGTGGTATAACTGCAGTTTCAAGTCGAGAATCAAAACTGCGGTAGAGATGAGCCCCTCAAAATTCTTCAATGGAGGTAAAATCAATCTGCAGTTTTGAAGATACATAGATGGTATTTGTAACACCCCCCAAACAAGACCTATTTAAAAGCCTTAACACATGCAGATTAAACAACAAAACTAACACAGCGGAAGATAAAACGAAAACTGGATAAAAGAAATCCGAAAGGGGTGTCACGCCACGTCTACCAAACACGATAAACGCTACGGCAAACAATCTGCAAGTGTATGCATCTATCCCGAAAACATCAGTCTACAACTACATTGGCACACAGGCCACAAAACAGGGATAAAGGTGCTAAGCTACCAAGCACTAGACATCGCGCTCGTCTAAACATCACCTGAAAGATACAAAGATAAACATTGGGACGACGCCCGGTCAGTGATAATTGCTGGTAACCCACCAATACCCTTAAGTATCATACATAGATAGATATAAGTTATAAAATCATTTTCGAAACGGAATACATAAGTATATAAGTCAAAAGCCAAGATCAACAGTCAACACAAGACTCAACACTCACAAAGATAACACGGGAACACATCCCAAACCACAAAGGTTAACCACAACACAATGGAATAAGACAAGATCGATGGCAACACATGCCCTTGTGACTACACACGTCACAAGAAAGAGAATTCACCACACCGGCTACACGAGCCCTCGTGACATCACCCATCACGAGTTGATATGCCTTCCTTATGCCCTGTTCCAACCTTATGGCTACGCCCGACCTTGTACCTTCATGCCAACCATTACCTACAGGACCCCTGTACTTCTTAGTCCAACCTTTTCCCTCCTGGGACCGTCGTCCCCCACCAACAAACCACCAACAAGACCACCAATTTCATAGTACACAAGGGTACCGTACACGGCGACACATGCTCGGATAAAACATGTTATCTCCCAATCACGTGAACCTTACTCGAAGGCCACATCTCCATAATCACATCACGGCCACCACGAGGACCGCTGCAATACCTTGGTGACTAGCGTCCCATACCACTAATTGTGCAATCCAGGTAAAGCCACACACGCACCACCACTCACACGAGTCAATCAACGGATCACAACGAAGGTATGAAACAAACTCAATCAAGGAACGGGTCACAACCCAACGACAACAACGATGAATAACACAAGTTATCATCAACCAATCGGAAGGTAAAAACCACACACACGCTAGCATTAAGACGATAAACTAGCATGCTTAATAACGGAGAAACTCAAGATAGTTCCGAGGAACACACAAGACACCTCTTGGTCCAACGAAACACAATGTTGAACACTTAGCACGATTCAAGACACCAAAGTCCTACATGGATGGATACCTACCATATAGTTCTAGACATACGAAACATCAAGAAGACGCTCAAATAGTTCCACAAAGAACATTGGGAAGTCAAAAGACCATATACCGAGTCAAACGGATCACGGGGAACAAATCCCGATCAAACTCCACCATGTACCCGCGGGTGGACCCACGGGTAGTGCCCCACCCATGGTTCCGCTCGCGGGAACATATTCCCACAGGGCCGTGTACCCACGGGTAGGCCGGCGGGTGGTGCCCCGCCCGCCGTTCCGCCCGCGGGAACACTCCTATACCACAACAAATCCCTTCGGGGATTTTCTTCTCCAAACACAAATTCAAGTCCAAAACAGGCCAAATCTCACCCAATACAACAAAATGACTTGAACCATGGAAAATGCCAAGCAATGGCACAAAGGAACCCTAAACACAAGCTCTAGATATGCAATATCACAAAACAAATGCATAAACCCTCACATTTCATAGCAAAACACAAGTAGAATCCAAGAAATCACATATAGGTAAGCAAAATAGGTTTTGTAGAGCATGGGTTACCTCTTGTAGACCAAAAGACTTCACTTTACACCACAACAAGCTCCCCACAAGGCTTACTTTCCAAACCCACTTCAAGATCAAACCAAAAGATCATAAAGATCCTACCTTTAAGAAAAAGACAACTAAGATGGAACCAAAAAGACAAGATAAACTTAGATCTTACTCTCCTAGATGCCCAAATAGGTGAAAGGTTGAATCTTGGAAGCAAAACTTGAAATCTTGACAAGGGTCTTTACTTGGCTTGGAGAATAAGCTACACTTCTTTTCTAGAGAGAAGGTAGAGCTAATTTCTAAGAATTGTGATGAATGAATGAAGAAGTTTTCTAGGTTAGATTACAATACTAACTCTTGGTGAAAAGAAAAGAATACCCTTACTAACCTTTAGAAAGTGTAAGGAACAAGGGAACTCCCCTCAAAGCACAAGGTACAACACAACTTTAAGGTTGACTAGTCAAATACTAGTCCTTGAGTATTAAAAATCAGGATTTTAGGAATTAACTCTTCAAATAAAATAGGATTAATTACTCAATTAATCTATGGATTGAATGTGGATTTTTGGGGTGTCACAGTATTCATATGAAAGGACAAGAAAAGAAAGGTAATTCATTTTGTATCTCTAATCAGATTTCAGACTAGATATGAATGGTCAATAAGGATATGACAAAGGATATTTCTTTCAGATTCTGAGTCTGGGGAGCTAGTTATCTGATATAAGTCAAAAGACTATTAAAAACAAGTTTTGTATGCTCTTGTATGCTAGAAGATTAAACTTTGAGAAAGAAATTCACTTGAGGGAAAGAAAATGATAACTATTTTGCTCTTCGTGTACCAGTCTTGTTTTGACCACCTACTTTTTTTGTAAGGAATATACTCCATGGTTGAAACATGATGACTTAGATTTGTTTTGCAATTCATGTTGTGTTTCATTCTGGTATTGGCAGATTACTGTGCATGTGAAAGGCAAAACAGAGTGTTTCGACTTTCGAGTGCCAACCTAAACCAGCTCCAAAAATTTACCCTGTATGCACAATTACCAGCACTCCATCCAAGGTATTGGTGATATTTTTATTGTTTTATGAAAATGACTCCATAAATTGAATTGGGTTAATGTACAATTATTCAGTGTTTAGTTCTAGTACTCCTGCCATTAAAGAATATGTATTCATTCCATTAGTGGGAAACTGGGAATAGTTTTAGGGTTGTCATTGTTCTAAGATTATGACTCAATGCTTTTGGTATTCAGTAAGGTTATTGTGTAAATTATCTATGCATAATTGTTTTTTTTTTTTTTTTAAATATGAGCAAGTGATTTCAACTAGTCCTTGAAAAGCTAGTTTTTAGCTTCTTTTAAAATAAAATATATGACTTCCTTCTAATGGCTTATGGAAACAATAACAATTGCAAAACTCCTTTTCAAAAGCCATAGGCAATATTCATAAGCCTATCCAAACACAGTAAAAGATCAGCACATGTACTTCTAGGAGTAAATAGGCCAAAAATATATTCATCGAAATTGTGGTTTATACAGATCTCACTCTTATTATAATCATTGAAGATATGGTTTGTGTGATTGGGTTTCGGGTTACTAATTGATTAGTGAAGCGTGAACATTAAGTAATTTGTATTTTGCAGGTGGTTCTCGTTCGGAAGCAACTAAAAGAAACGCATAACTCATGCACAACTCAACTATCAACAACAAGATAAACAACTCAACACATTCTAAATGCAACACATGCCCTCAAATGTAAGGATAAGTCATGATGCTAAAAGTATAAATATATATATATATATATATATATATATATATATATACTCTCACACTCAAAAATAATATACTTTTTCTTTGGAGGTTTCTGTTGAGTCACAATAACCCGCTTTTTTCTTCTTTCTCTTTGAGTCACACAGACTCACTTTCACTTCTTTAATCGCGGGCGAGGTAGAAACTTCACCATGTGTGAACGGACTTATCCGATCTCGACATCTAGCCGGCCTAATACTCAATCTCACCCATGGAACCACTCTCTTAGTTCTAATCTCAAACTCTATGGAATCAGGTATCGTACTTATCAATGCGCACACCCCCTAACCGGGATTCCAAGCCTGGCGGGTAGTATCCAACCTAGTAACGTGGGAATACGCCTCATTACTTCATCTCGGACCGCAATGTCCATAACTTTCTCAAACTTTCTTTCTTTCTCTTTTCTTCCGAAAGGACATAATCCTAACGGGCCTCAGAAAAACCTATTGAGCTCACAATATATATATATATATATATATATATATATATATATATATATATATATATATATATATATATATATATATGTATGAATCTTTCTCATGCCATAAACTCTTATTATGCAACTCATGCACAAATAATCTAAATCAACTTCTCTTTCTCACAACTCTGAAAAATAAATACCATGCAACTCTTAATGCAAAATGATAATGATTTTCCTAAATAGATATAGTTTTTTTTTTTTTTTAAATAGAACTTAGGCTTACTTAGAGCTAATGATGCACTTTAAATTAATGACATGCACTAACACAATCTCTTTACAGTAAATCTAACTCAATTCTCATTCACTGTAATCTCAGAAAACAAGCACAACTTATGCAACAATTTTCAAAACTTAGCAAAGCTTCTCAATAAAAATTCAATAAAAACTAACAAGTATTTAGGCATGCTTCTCAATCAAACCACAAGTATTGAGCATGCTTCTCAACTTATAAAATAAGGTTCAGATAACTCAAATCCAAAGCTAGTAGTTCACAGACTACAACAACAACAACATACTTAAACTTCACAAAAACATCTATAAATCATTCTTCACAACTCCAAATTCAACGATACAAACTTCTACTAGTGCGTTGTAACGAGCCCGAGTGTCCGAGCTTCAATGGCCCACGAGTAACGATCCGAACAACGCGTAGCTAAGCTACAAAGGGCAGGCCAGAATTGGGATTTGCCTGGCCGAGCTTGGTGACGGGGCTTGAGAAGCCCCATCACTGGCCTTCGCCCAGCCACGGGTCATGGTAACGGTTCTTGCCTAGAACCGTGGCCATGGTCCGCCCCTCAATGGAGCTTGCCAATGGTGTAACATCCCGTGTTACGCCCTTTAAACCCAAATTAATTATTTAATTAATTTTGTTAAGGAATAGTTAAAATGGATTTAATCTAGTTAGGATCCCCTAATTAATTAAGGTGGTCCACGGAGGACCGCAGACCCTTTTCTATATTAAAGACTGTAAGCCTATTAGGAATAGAGAAAGTGGGCCTTTACTATTCAAATTCTAATTTGGATTCCTAACTCTATAAACAGGGGATTAGAAAGCATTTAGAATCCGTTCTACCCATATTCCTACCACTCGAAATTCCATAAGAAGCCTAGCAAAAGGATTTCCCCATCACCAAGCCTAGGGAGATCAATTGGGGGAAAATCTTGGAAAAGAACCTTAGAAGCTAAGGAAGATTTAATTAAGGCTAAGAGGTAACCCATGTCTTAAAAAACCTATTTTCCTTGCTATATCTTATTTATTGACTCATTTGAATGAATGTTGTGATTATGCCTTGATAGAGCTTGTCTTAGGGTTTATGTGATGATCTCTTGATAATCTTGATGTTCTTGCTATCCATAAATGTTTATATGCGTAATCTTGTGTCTAAAACATGTTTAGAGTTTGTCCTTAGGGTTTATGTGATGGAGTCTTGATGTTCTTGAGGTTCTTGATGCTCTTGAACGATTATGTGTTTATTCTCGAGTCTTGGCATGTTTAGAGCTTGCGTCTAGGGTGTATTTGTGTTGTGTCTTGGCTAATTCTTGGTGTTCAAGTCCGTATTGTTGTTGATATGTGTTGGGGTGTGTTTGGACTTGATTTTGGGTAAAGTTGAGGAATTCCCGAGTTGGGAAAAGTGCCAAGAAGAGTGCGTTCCAGCGGGTAGTCGGTGGGGGGACGAACCCCCACCTGACCACCCGCCAGGTACGACCACCATACCAGTGAGTGGCCGGTGGGTGGAAGACCACCTGCCGGCATAGCCGCTGGTATAGTGCCGCCCGCCAGCGGGGGGATGTCCTCCTGCCGTACCGCCCACTGGTACGAGCGAGGCAGTGTGTTGTTTTACCCCATTTGTTGTTCCCACATGCCCCGTTGTGCCGCGTTTGATGTTTTTGAGTCTAGTATGATGTCGTGGATACCGAATTAGGATCCGTGAGTCTTTGGTATTGTATGTGGTTTAAGTTGGTATCCCTTTGGCCTAGGAGGAGGTTTGTATGTTCCCTTGTGAGTCTTGTGGTTGTCTTGTTGTCATTGGAAGTAGAGTTTAGGGTGTTCCCCGTGGGTTGTGGGTTTGTATTGTGTCAATTGTTGATAAGAGTCTATGTGTTTGCTGTATCCCTTCCCTTTGACTATCCCTTGTTGAAGTATTGTTGAGTATTGAGCATCGTTGTTGAGTAATGAATATTGTTGTTGTGGAGTGTTGGTTGTTGTTGTTCTTGTCAATGGTAAAAAGAAAAGATATGAGATTGGCAGTACAAAATCGATAGGTGGATCTGATGCACTGCGCGTGTTTATGTGATTGGGCTGCAGAACTTTTGGAGTGTGGTGCTGCAATACCTTTGGTGTGCTATGGGCTGCAGTACTTTTGGAGTGTGGTGCTGCAGTATCTTTGGTGTGTTATGGGCTGCAGTACTTTTGGAGTGTGGTGCTGCAGTATCTTTGGTGTGTTATGGGCTGCGGTACTTTTGGAGTGTGGTGCTACAGTACCTTTGGTGTGTTATTGCGTAGGCGGAACAGATTGGCGATTGGATAGGCGTGGAGTCGTGCTCCGGAGGGATAGGCTGTGGTGTATAGGGTGGCCTGGATGTAAAGGTTGGAACTAGAACTGTTATTAGGATGGAGCGATGTTATAAGGTTGGAACTTGGTATAAGGTTGGAACATGGACATGTGTGTGGTTGTTGTTTGTACTGATTGAGTCTCGTTGTTGTCTTGTCTTGTGGTCTTAGGTTGCATGCTAGTATCTTTATGTGTTTTATAGTGTCGACTCTATTGGTATGTCTCGAGTCTTGATCTTTGTTTTAAAGCTAGAGTTGTTTAGGACTATATATGTATTCCCGAGTCTCAAAATGGTTTTCTTATATCTACCTATATTGTACTCAACGCGTGGGAGTGGGTTACTCAGCATTATTCGCTGACGGTTGTTACACCATAGGTTTTTTAGGTACCGACCAGTAGCTTCGGAGCACGCTAGATGGATTTGTGGAATTAGTTGTAGCTAGTTCTAGCCTTAATATAGATGGCCTGCATGTGCGCCTTGATTGTATTTGGAAATTAATTATGGATTATACTTGGTTTAGTTAGTTGTAGCCTGTGCATCTAGGTTCTCCAGCCTAGATATGGCATAACACCTTGATACTTATGTTGTTAGTTTCCGCTCTGTTGGGTATTAAAGATAGATTCACCTTTAGTTCATAAGCTTTAAATGTTTTAAAAATTAGGGGTGTTACAAACGGACCACGCCAAGGTCCGTTGGTTGGCTTCATTGGGTGATCAAGTGCACCATCTGTGTGCACTAGACAGTTCCCTCAACACCTGCAAAGCAAAACCAGTGTAAAACAACACATCCAAACCACCACAAATCATCCAAACCACCACAAACAACACATCTACAATACTCAAATAGCTCAACCACAACAACTATATATTTAGCATTTCTACACAACTAAGTCATAACAGTTAACAGAGAAAGAAAAAGATAGTTTAGGAGTCCATGGTTTATACCTCTTCTTGTTCTTCCTCCTTGTGTGGATCTCAACCTCCTCTCCACTCAACTTCCACCACTTCCTTCACCACCTAAACACCCCAAATAACAACACAAACTAAGCCTAAGAAATCTCAGAGATTGGAGGCCAAGAGAAAACACTAAAAGCAAAATGAAGAAATGAATGGTGATGGATGAAAGCTTACTGTGTTGCTTCTTTCTTCTAGCAGACAAGGCTTGAGAGAGGCAAGGGAATGAGATCAGGGGATAAGAAATGAATAGTGTGGGTTTTATAGGGTGCAGAACTCTATGTGATTCTCCAATGATTAGTTGGGGGTGAAAATGGAAATTTTGGCTTCTTTTTTAATAAGATCAGACAAAGGAGAAAGGTTCATGGTCAACCTTGCATCATGGACCAAAGTCTAAAAAGTGAATTTTGGATAACTTGGGGTCAAAATAAAATTTCTAGAAATAGTTTCTACTTAAAACACTTGGTTCAGGTTTCACAAGATCCTTTCCGGTTTCACTCAGATTGACTTTTCGGGTCAAAACTTGGTACCGAAATGTACCCGAAATTTAGGATTTTTTAAATAGAATAAGTCTTTGGTGTTGAATTTATTTTTAAAAAATATCGGCTTAAAAATATCTAATTCAAACACTGTTTTCGAATTTAAAATTTTGGAATAATGAAAATGGCTATTTTGAAAATTTGAAAAAAAAATAGAATTTAGAAAATAAAATCTCAGGTTGTCACATTAACCGTGCAATCAATCTGTCTAGTGTTCTCTACTTGAGTTTGATGAGATGTGAGGGATTGAACCCCGCACCTCTCACATGCAAAGTGAGTGCTTTACAACTTGAGCTACATCTCCTACCATTACTTTTGTAGTAAAAATACAATCTATATATAATGCAGGAAGAAGTATTTTAAAAAATCTCAGAACACTCTTATAAAAGCTAAGTTTTGATCATGGGACATGTGGGTTAT